TTTTTTTTTAATTGTCCATCAAAAACACCATAAAAAACACCAGTGAATACTTATTATCACAATTTATCTTTAATTACCTGTAGTGTTTCATTACCTACCTTAAAACGTTGCTTAGCATGGTAAAACCCTTAAGAACAGAATTCGAATTACCTTCCGAGGACCTGTACTTTTGAGCTCCATGACGTTTATTGTAAAATTGATTCTCTTTCCGTTCTGATCAAACTTTATATTCCCTGACAGACCTTCCACCTGAACCTATGCAGATGAAGATGAAAGCAGTAAGAGAATCAGTTTTGCTCCTTTTTTACAAAAGGTATTTTTTATTTCCATAACTGACTATTAATTTGTCAACACCATTCAGTCTAGACTCCTTTCAACACCAACCAGTTTATCTTTGTAAAGAGATAAGTTTCTGAGGAGTTAACTCCCTCATTAATCGCACTGAGATCCAGGCTGGAAACTAGAAGGTCCTTTCCAAGCATCCACAGAGCACTTTGCACATGCACTCACCCCAACATTCATTCTAGGGAGGCTACCTGTTTCAATGCCCTTTCTATTTCTACACCATGACCCCAGGGCACAGCTGGATTTGCAAGACAATCTCCAGCATTTCCTCTTCTGGAGATCTCAATCCTCTGTTTACGCAAATTACGGAAAGCTTCTGTCATCACTTGAACAGCATCATAGGTGAGAGCTGAGGTATACTGAAAAGAAGGGAAAAGACATCAGAAAAAAAATACTTATGGCTTCATTACTCCTTTATTACCCTATTAACCCATTAAAGACTGAAATATATTATAAATAAAGGAGACATTAAAACATTCCTTAGACAAGAAAAGCTTGTGTTTTGTTTCGACCCACTACCCTGCTCAGGGGAGTTCATGCATATTAACAGTGTGTTCTGCATCAGGAGAGTAGAGGACAGTGCTAAACCAAAACTGAAATCTAAGCTAAAACTCACACTTATTTTCACGGTGTGAATTCCTTTCCTTTCTCAGTACAACAGTGTAACATGTTTGTGTGCACATGGCTGGAATTCTATGGAAATGAAGGGAGGACCAAGAAATCCTGTTTGAATTAGAATTTACAACTAAGTGTTCCTCTGATTACACTGCTCAT